GAGGGCGTCCCCCCGGGCGGTTGCCGCTTCCAGGGATGCCGCCAACTTCCGGGTTTCCTTCGGGGCCGGTCGAGGGGTAGGCTTCGGAGCGTTGGAGGGGGGCCCATTGGGATTAGACGTTCCGCTGGAGCCCGGACCCCCGGGAGGTCAGGGCCTGGACTTTTTGTTCGGAGTGGGGGGGACCCAGCCGGAGGGGGTTTTCTTCGTGGGGGATTCGGTCTTTCGGGTTTTGTTGAGCCCGGCCCTGGGGTAGATCACGGATTCGCCGGGAAACCCAGGGGGGGGGGGGGGGGGGGGGGGGGCGTACTCTTATGTTTTGCATGCCTTCGCGGTTAGACCATTTACCACGCGTCTTCGAGAGGACGGAGCATGGTGGGGGGTGCGGAGGGTGTACTCATAGTCGTGCATGCCGTAGTCGTTAGACCATTGACCTCGCATCCCTACAAACCCGGGATGGAGCACTTCGGATTATCACCGGACCAAGCTCTCACATCACCAAGCGCGAAGCACCGTGAGGTATTTGGCGAGTCGCATGGAGGGTGCGCTGCGTCCTGCTGAGGGTGTTCGGCATCTTGTGCTTACTCCCTTACGTACGGATGACAGCTGCGTATGACTTAATTTGATTTCTGGTGCTTTCACTTCCAGAGACAGATATATGCACTGTGTAACTGCCTCGAGGATGCTTTACCATTTTAACACAACGTGGTGCGATCATCCCCCGTTGCGCGGAGTGAGGGTTCTCGACCCCGACAACATAATCAACTCGGCCACCATAATGGTTACCGCCAAAAAAAAAAAAGTAACCAGGTTGCCGAGCTCACGAAGTGATCGGCTTGTTTTACAACGTCGTTGTCAAGCGACCAATACCCAACCCCGATGGCAATCACCGGGGGGGGGGATCTTAAGGCTCATTGTTGAGATCGGAAGTCAACGGAGGATGGAGCATAGTTTTTCTTCTGAAGCCATGCGAAACCTCCCTGCAAGCGTTTGTTCGATGAGCAGAGGCATCGAAATCAAGCACACGGTGCATGCTTCGCCCCATTCCGCGGAGCCTAAAAGGACGATGTATTCTACCAGGCAGGGGCAGCGTTTGATATGTATGCACAATGGAGCAACCGGTGCTCTCCGCCGCATCTCGCACTCGCATGTCGACAGCAGTGTTCGCGGTGCGGGGGCTGGTTTGACATCTATCTCCCGTTTCACCTGCTTCTCCATCGCCTCAAGGGTCGCCGCCAGCGCCTCCGCCCGCTCGTTAGCGACCGCGACCAGTGACTCCGCCGCCGCCCGCCCCTCCTCAGCTCGACCGAGGCACTCCCTCAGCGTCCCGGACTCCCTCGAGGCCGCCTCTTGTGACTCTCGCGCCGACGCTGCCGCCTCCCGGGCCGCGGCGAGCCGTTCGCCGGCGGCATCCTGCGACTCCCTCGCCGCCGCCGTCCTCTCCTCTTCCAGCACTCCCAGCCTCTCCAAAACCAACACCGCCGCCGCTTTTTCCGCCATTGCAACGGTGAGGCGCTCGTTGGCATCTCGCGATCCCTCCACCGCTGCGGCGAGCCGCTCCCGGACATCCTCGAGCTCCTTTGCAGCCTCTGCCCTCTCTGCCACCGCCGCGTCAAGCTGACCGTTGAGCTCCTGCAACTCCCTCGCGGTCGCCGCTGCCCTCTCCTCACCGGCAACGGCAAGTCGCTCCCGGACATCCTCCAGTTCTTTCACCACCGCCGCCCTCTCTGCCACCGCCGCGCCAAGCCGCTCGTGGAGCTCCTGCAGCTCCCTCGCCTTTTCGTCGCCGGCAGCTGCTAGCCGTTCTCGTACCCCCTCCGTCTCCCTCGCTGCGGCAGCTCTCTTCTCCTCCGACTCTGCCAAGTCTCCCTTCACGCCTTCCAGCTCTTCTACCGCCTCTGCCAGCTTCACCTCCGCCGTCTTCTTCCCTGCCACCGCTTCTTCCGACAGCGACAACGCCTCGCCCAGCTGCCGCGAGGCTTCCTCCTCGGCTTCGAGCTCCTGTCCCATCTTCTCCTCCATCGCGGCGTCCAGCCTGTCCGTCGCCGCTCTCTCGACCGCCTCTGTCGCTCTCTCCGCGGCTTCCGTCGCTCGCCTTACGGCGTCTCTTGCAGCCTCATCGGCAGCCTCTCTCGCCTCCCTCAACATGTCGTTCTTCTCGGCCACCGCCTTCTGGCTCTCGTGCAGCTCCGCCGCAAGGGTTTCCACTTCGGCGACGGAGGCGTTGAGCTTCTCTCGCAAGATTTCCAGTTGCCTCGCTGCGTCTTCCTCGGCTTCGACTGCCCTCGCCGTCCTCTCCGCCAGTGCGGCTTCCAGCCTGTCCGTCGCCGCTCTCTCAGCCGCCTCGGTTGCTCTCTCTGCCGCCTCTGTCGCTCTCCTTGCCGCATCTCTCTCGGCCTCTTCTCCAGCCGCTCGAGCCGCCTCGGCAGTCTCTCTCGCCTCTGTCAACAGATCGCTTCTCTCGGCCACGGCCTGCTTACTCTCGCGCAGCTCCACCGCCAGGGTTTCTGCTTCGGCGACAGAGGCGTCCAGCTGTCCTCGCAAGATTTCCAGATGCCGCGCGGCGTCTTCCTCGGCTTCGAGCGCCCGCGACGTTCTCTCCGCCAGCGCGGCTTCCAGCTTGTCCGTCGCCGCTTTCTCGGCCGCCTCGGCCGCTCTCTCGGCCGCCTCTGTCACTCTCCTTACTGCATCTCTCTCGGCCTCTTCAGCAGCCGTTCGAGTCGCTTCGGCGGCCTCTCTCGCTTCCCTCAACAGATCGCTATTCTCAGCTGCCGCCTGCTTACTCTCGTGCAGCTCCGCCGCCAGGGTTTCCACTTCGGCGACGGAGGCGTCCAGCTTTTCTCGCAAAAGTTCCAGTTGCCGCGCGGCCTCTTCCTCGGCTACCAGCGCCTGCAACGTCCTCTCCGCCAGGGCGGCTTCCAGCCTGTCCGCCTCAGCCGCTCTCTCTGCCGCCTCTGTCGCTCTCCTTGCCGCATCTCTCTTGGCCTCTTCTGCAGCCGCTCGAGCCGCTTCGGCAGCCTCTCTCGCCTCCGTCAACAGATCGCTTTTCTCGGCCACCGCCTGCTTGCTCTCGTGCAGCTCCGCCGCCAGGGTTTCCACTTCGGCGACGGAGGCGTCCAGCTTTCCTCGCAAGATTTCTATCTGCCCCGCTGCGTCCTCCTCGGCTTCGCGCGCCCGCGTTGCCGTCTCCACCATCGCGGCGTCCAGCCTGTCCACCTCAGCCTCTCTCTCTGCCACCTCCGTCGCTCTCTGCACCACGTCTCTCTTGGCCTCATCAGCAGCCGTTCGTGCCGCTTCGGCTGCCTCTCTGGCCTCCCTCAAGAGCTCGTCCCTCTCGGCCACCGCCTTCTCGCTCTCGTGCAGCTCCGCCGCCAGGGTCTCCGCTTCGGCGACGGAGGCGTTGAGCCCGTCTTCCGCCGCCGCGTCGGCCTCGCGACGCCTCTCCCGCTCCTCCGACAGCCGGGCTTCCAGGGCGTCTCTAGAGGCCGTCAGGGCCGCCACCTCCAGGCGGGCGGCGTCGAGGTCACAGGTCGCGAGCCGGAGTCCTTCGGAGGCCGAGGCGAGGTCGTCTTCCTGGGAACGGCGGAGGCGTTCTCGGGTGGTCGCGAGGTCATCCCTCGCGGACGCCAAGCTCGCGCGTTCCGCGTCCAGGGATGACTGTTGGTAGGTCGTTCGCGGTAGTAGTAGTAGGCAATGACACCGGGCGAGGGGGGGGGGGGCGTAGAGTGTTACAGCAGTAGTTGGCCAATTGACGCCAGATCTTTTAGTGCGATCGTAGGGTGAAAAAACGGTGGGGTCGTGCGTATTTTCGCAAGATACTACTGTAGACACGTGAGACAAATGTCACGCAAAGGGAGCCTAGTAAAAGGAGTGCTTCCCCAAAGCAGATGCCGACGTAACACAACCTTTGGATGAAGTACGTATGACTACTGCTTGCAGCTTCCGGTAAGAGCAACTGCCTCTGCGAGTCAAGTATAACCAACCACATGGGTACCGCAGGTTGCGTAGTATATCACACACCCCTTTTGGCCGCATATCAAAGCTGGTATACTCTCTGCAGCAAAAGACACAAGACGGTGCCGAAAATGGCGGCGTTGAGCTTTCCGAATAACGCCTCCACCCTTTCGGGCACTAGCACCCTCTTCGTCGCAAAGCAATCGAGATTTGAAGTACGGTCAACGGGGTGTGGTACCTTGTGCCACGTTCAACGGCGAGGTGGTCTGTGTCTATGTCGATGGCCGCGAAAACAACGACCAATCAGCACTACCGCAAGTTGCTGTGAAGCTGAGTAGCTAGCTATAATACCTGTGCCTGGTTCAACGCCTCCCTCGTGAGGGCAACCCCTGCCCTCGCCTCCGCCAGCGCTTCCCGCGCGGAAGACGCCTCCGCAGCCGTGGTGTCGAGAGACGCTCGGAGGGTCTCGGACCTGGCACGCTCTTCTTCCGACTGCGCTTCTAGCGCAGAAACCTGTGAATGGCAGGCAGGCGGGAGGAGGGGGGAGCGTCGGGCGGAGGTCTTTGTTCCTCTGCACCTTGCACTCACACGGCGTCCCCGCTGCAAAACAAGCACATACAGGGCCGTCGAGCTATCCAACCTCGTAATCAACCATATTACGGTCACAGTTTTTCCTGTGGTGCCTTGTACTGTCGTGCCGCAGCAGCGCACAAAATTCGACCGTCGAACTCCTGGCGACGTACAGTGCTTTCAGGTCGAAATGATCTAAAGTCCCCGCGATTGCTTCATAGATCCACGAGCAACTCAAAATCGCCAATGAAATGACGCTCCTTCCAAGGTAGGAATCCCTTGCGGCTCTGTCAAACACGACCACCAACGCTATCTGGTCACCTTCCCCAGCAGTGCGGACTTGTCCGCCTCGAGCCCCTCTCCCAGCGCTCGGAGGGCGGCGCAGTCTCTCGACAGCCCCTCCCGGCCTTGTTCCGCCTCCTCGAGTCTTGCCTCCGTGTCCGCCTTCCCGCGCCAAGCGGCTTCGAGCTGCGATTCCAGCTGCCAGGGGGGGAGGGTTCGGGGAAGAAGGTTATTGGGTTGTGTTCGGGACGTGGTGTGGAGTTGCGTGTGCGTTTCCGAAGGCGTTTGTGTCCGTGAGTGTACTACTGTTTTCTGGTAGAGCAAGTTCGAAATGGCTCCCCTATTGTAAGCAGTGTTCTTTTTGGGTCAAGTTGGGCATCGACACCTTGGTGGAGAATTAGCGGCAGCATAAACGAAACGCCATCATCATCATCATCATCATCATCAGCAGCAGCAGCAGCAGCAGCAGCAGCAAAACAACAACTACAACAACCAAGCCAGCAGCAGCAAAATCAAGGTCAACCACATCACTACCAACACCAGCACTAGCAGCCGGGCCATGACATCCCGACGCTGTCGCGTTGTTTGACGTTAAATTACTTCCATCATCGGCATCGTCATCATCGCCAGTCAGAGCGAATCGTCATGAGGGACGGCTAAGGCGGTTGGTCGAACACGAAGAGCAACCGCCTGCTGGTGCACACAAGACGGTTGATCGGTAGCTTCTAGCGACACGCACGAAAACACACACAGAGCGGGAGCGAGGGACAGAGTGAGAGAGAGAGAGAAAGAGAGCGAGAGAGAGAGAGAGAGAGAGAGAGAGAATGCGGCCTCTCACCGTGGCCACCGTTACGGCGAGCTCCTCCCCTTGCTCCCGCTCCCTCCTCGACGCGGCGACGGCCTCCGCGAGGCTCTCCTTTGTGTCGGGATCGGCGGGAAAAAACGAGGCATCGGCAGAGATTCGGCAAGAGCAACACCAAAAAGCGCACGAGCCGGTCACATGGATGATTATGTCGAGGTACAATTGTATAGAGAAACCGTGAACGAATGTCGTGGACTGACACCTTCCAGGTAGCCAGCCGACTAGCGCGGTCAAAGCCAATACAAAACCAAACGCACACACGCACACACACAAACACATCCGGCTAGCGCAGGCAACGCCACTTGAAAAACGCATGCTACCGCCGTGGGGGGGCGCTCTAGCGCCGGGGTGCGTCCCGAGATTCTACCGGCACTACTCTACCGGGCCGGCACTATTCAGAGTACAGAACGACTTGGTATATCAGGGTGCGCGAGCCGAAAACACCGGCGCTACATAAAAAAAAAGGGCGTACCGGCACTATTCAAGCGGCACTATAGAGCCCCCCCACTGCTGTACTTCAAACACACACACACACACACACACAACACACGTCCGAAGTCGCACCTTAAGGGTTTCGATCTCCGCGGTGGCGTGCCCGAGCCGGGCCGACGCTTCCTGAGACTCGACCGCCCCGGCCCTGGCCGCCTCGGCCCGAGCCTCCTCCGCGCTCGCCGCCGCCGCCGCCGCCGCCGCTGCCGCCTCCGCCGCAAACGCCTCCCGCGCCTCCGCGAACCTGCTCGACTCCGCGTCCAGCCGCCGGCGCAGGCTTTCCGCCTCGCCGTACACGGTCTCCAGGGTTTCCTCCTTGTCCCTCAGGAGGCGTTCCTGGGTGGCGCGGCTGTCTTCCAGGGTAGCCGTGCGCGCGGACTGTTCCCTCAGAGAGCCTGGTTCGCGGGGGGCGCGTGTGTGTTTGTGTTGGTACGGAGGTTGGGAAGGATCCTGAGGGCGTTTGCTCTTCCTGTCCACCAGCTTCTCCCTCTGGAGAGAGCGGAGGCAAGAAAACTGTGCGTGCGTGCATCCACGGGACCCGCCCTCCCCTCGTTTTCGTCTCTCGCTTCCCTTCCTGCCTTCCTCCTCAAGGTCTCACGGCTTCCCCGAGAAAGTAGAAAAAAAAAAATGCAAATTGTGTACACGCCCACGGGGTGCCCTGCTCTGACGCAAGGGAAGAAATCCAGGACGCACAGCTACCCCCGCTCATGTTGATGTGTTCCTACCTCCTTTTACTCCATATGATATAGGAACTATACTAGGGGGGGCCGTTGGGGAGAAAACTCAGGGTCCCCCTCCCTAGGTCCAGGTAGGGCAAAGGAGTCTTCTGCGCCCCCCCCCCTGATCAAAGCATATGGTAGGACGCAGCCCCCCCCCCCCCCCCCCCCCCCGG